GCCGCCGAGGCCGCACTGTTGAGCCCCGCGGCGGTGGCGGGCGCCTGGTAGAGGCCCGGGTGGCGGAAGCTGCACAGCAGCTCGGGCCGCGAGTAGGGGTGCGAGAGGGCGCGGAAGGTGTCCAGCGGGCGGATGGAGGTGGCGAAGGGCGACGAGGCGGCAGCGGCTCCCGAGGCAGCGGCAGCGGCGGCGGCGGCCGTGACGCCCACGTGCGGGTAGTAGTGCAGCGGCACGTGCGAGTGGAAGGGGTAGGGCAGGCTTCCGGTGGCGGCGGCGTGCGTCATCATGTAGGTGTAGAAGCTGGGGTCGGCCGGGTGGGGCCAGGACATGGCCAGGCGCTGCCGCTTGTCCTTCATGCGCCGGTTCTGGAACCACACCTGCAGGGACAGCCGTGCGCGGCCCGGTTAGGGAGCTGCGAGGCTCCTGCCGCAGGGCCTGCCGCCCCTCCTGGGCCTGGCAGGCCGGGCCTGCTCCCCGCCGGGCCTGCCTGGCTGGGGCCCCTGCGCGCGCGCACGGGCCTGACCGGAGAGGGCGCAGCACCAGGGCGCAAGGTGTCCCGCGCGTCTGCTCTTTTCCTGTCCTCTCTTGTCCCTGCCAGACCTCTTCTGTCCCTCCTGTCGCCCATCTGAGCCCGGCCTCGCCTAGCTCCTTCTCTTACAATCCTGGGATGCGGACCTGGATTCCGGGCAGCCTAGCAGATTGGCCGCGTGAGGTCTGGAGTCCTTGGAGCTGCCCCAGAGACAGGGGTCCGTTTTCTATCTTGAAAAGATGATTGTACTGGAGACATTGCTGAAGGAGCAATGTCCCCTTAAACTGAGGAGACTTCTCTACCCCCCTCCTTCCAGCGTTGTATCTAATAAAGACATCATTCGTCACAACCTTAAATCACAGAAGGGGCCCAAACCCAAGGAGCGAGATCTCTGCCCCCCTGCCCTACCCATGGAGCTTCTTCTTCTGGGACGTGAATTCCCTCGTGAAGTGTTCGCCAAAATCATCCAACCTCCCAGCTAGATCTCTCCCTGGCGTATAAGAAAATAATCACCTAAAGACAACGAGGACAATTTCGTGTGTTCCCCCTGCCCCAAGAGGGTGCCTTCCCACCCATCCACCCTTTGCCGCCCAAGAGAAAAATGTTTGGGATACTACTTTCTCAACCCAATCGATTTTTCTAAAATACAGAATCTTTTTCTCCATGTCGTAACGATTTATGTGGAAAATAAATCTCCAAGATCAAGAGCAAACGAAAAGTTTCACCTCCTGTTGGTGCTAGAGGAACAAAGCCTGCTGCCCCTGCAGCTGAGGGGGCCGTGGGCACGGCCTGGGCCACCTGAGCAGGCCTGTCGATTTGTGGCCGAGTCAGCGCCATTGGGGGGCTTTCCCAGGTCAGCCAGGCCGACCAAGGTCAACCTCAGCCTAGAAATAAGTCAGCTCTTTGGAAGACCACCTCCCGCCAGTTCCCAGGCCCTTGGCTACCCACCCAGGAAAGAGGAAAGAAACAAAAACCAGGCCAGGTGCCCCCTGGGAGGCCTCGGCCGGCGTGTCCTGGGATCGATACCTTGATGGTGGTTTCGGGCAGGTTGAGAGCAGCGGCCAGCTCGCACCGGCGGGGCCGCGACACGTAGTTCTCCCGGTAGAACTCCTTCTCCAGGCGCGCGATCTGCTCGCGGGTGAACGCCGTACGGTAGCGCCGCACCTGATCGGCGCCCGAGCCCGAGCCGCCCAGCGCCGCGCCCCCGCCGCTACCTCCTCCGCCTCCATGCAGGCCTCCCAGGCCCGGGCCCGACGTGGACGTGGTGCTGCCCGCGGCTGAGCCGCCGTCCGCGAACCCTGGCAAAGAGACGGCGACAGCGCGTGAGCCGCCGCGGGAATCAGAGCCCCGGAGCCCCGCGCCTGGGCTGCGCCGAGGGGGAAACCGCGACTGGAAGGCCAGGCGCTGCCTCTATTGACAGGGTCTGTCAGGCTTACAAATTGCTGCTGTTAATGGAATCAATAAAGTTTGGGGAGCCCTTCATAACCAAATGATACAAACGGAATTAGGGGACGTGTTTTAGCTTGGTTTTGGTTGTTTGTTTTTTTTTTTCTTTTAACAATTCAGAATTTTCAGGAGGGGGGAAAAATGCCTATATCCGAGTGCAGTTGGGGAAGCTCTTGGCTTGTCAAGGTCTGGAGGCCGCCAGGCAGTTTTCTGCGTGGCCTTTAACCTTTCTGACAGTCTTTTGCGTTTGGTTAAAATGATTTTAAGATTCACTAAACAACAGAAGCTCGAATTAGAACCATTAGGGCTTAAAATCTACTTTCACCTTTCTCTCCCGAGGACTCGAGCGTGTCCAGCCGAGGTGCCCGGCTAGGTACTCTCCGGTTACCCAGAAAAGTGCCCCTCCACCTGGCCCTGGGCGGTCGGGAGCGGTGGGTAAGGGAGTTCCAAGCTGCTGCCCAGTGTTCCCCTCGCCAGACGTGGCCCAGCCGCTTGCTTGGGGTCCCTCGACTCTCTAGGGCTTTTGGCCCCATCCGTGGATGGACACATTGTCTTTGGCTCCGCAGCCAGGGCAGGGGTGCGCGCTGGGCGCCCCAGGCCTGCGCCTGGCTGGTGGGCGCTGGGAGCAGAGCTGGAGGGCACTGTCCCCCAGGCACCGTCCCGCCACCACCGCTCGCGGCAGCGGTGAAGGGGGAATGAAGAGGGTCGAAGAGGGGCAAAGGGACCCGGCGGGGACCACGGAGAAGCAGGGAGGAGCGCGCAATGGGGCGGCGGCGGTTACCTTTGCCATTGTTTTCCTTCAGCGGCGCGGGCCCGAGGCCGCCGGGGGAGCGCAGCGCTGAGCAGCCCACCTCCACGTCGCTGCTCATGTCCGCCTCGGTGGCTGCCTCAGAATAATGACCCGGCTTCTTGCGGCTCTCGGCGGCGGTGGCGATTTCGGAGGAGACGGTGCTCTCGCTGCCCGGGTGCTGCAGGTTGAATAAAGTGTCTATTTCGAACTTGCCCTTGGCCGGCAGGTCTCCGAGCGCGCCGTGCAGGGGAGCGGATGGCAGGCGCGGGCTGAGGCGAGCCGGGTGCTGAGAATTTTCCAGGGCCTCGAGCACAGCATTGCCAGCCGAGTCCGACAAACTGGAGAACCTCTTGGCGGTTGTGGGGCTGTGCAGCCCTCTCTCCATCAGAATCATCTCTTTTCTTATTCTTTCCATCATCTCAGCTTTCTAAAAAATGTCACAGTGGCCGGGCTGGACTGTCCTAATGATGGACTGCGCCTCGGGCTAATTCTCATTCAGCCCCAGCGAGCGCCTCTAAATATTATTATCTCTTTTGGAGGGAGGCGGAAAAAATTGTGGGATGCCAGAGCGAGGGAATGACTGGTCAAAATGACCCATACATCCTTCCGAGCCTGAGATGTCATTCATCAAAAAGTAGCGCCCGCTCGTCATTAAGGTACGAATGACGCCGTTCGAATAATCATTTATTGTAACAGGTTTATAAGCAAATAAATACACGCTCCTGTCAGTGGGTAATGAAGGCGGCTTCGGAGCAGACAAATAGATCCAGGTAGGAGGCGAAAGGAGACAAGAAGTGAGGAAGAAGGCTCCGGTCCCGTGGCCGCTCGGAGCCAGCTCTGCTCGCCCGGGGGTTTGGCCTCGGGGGGTGAAATTGACAGTCTGATTAATAGCGCGCGCCGCGGCACATTTCCCCCTTCATTTAGGGGCATCATTACGCTCTCAGTTTGCTGGGTTGCCCCTTAGGTCCTAATCATGCAGCTCCTGCCTCATTTTTCCTCGGACACAGATACGTGTTAAATAATAGATAATACTTGGAGTTGCCAGAGTAGATCGTGGGGAAGGGATTAAAACACACACACACAACACATTTACAAGCTGGGGGCGTGAGAGGAGGGAGGACAAGGGGGAGGATGCAGGAAGAATTGCGTAAGGAGACCTTGCGCTCCTCTCTCCATTACTTATCTTTCGGATTTCAGAACCAAATATGTATTTTATTTAACAAATAGGACGCTGGGTTCTCTCCCTCCTTGCTGCTCCCCGCCTCAGCCTGGCTGCTCTCTCCTCCCACCTCCGCACAGGGAGCAAAGGAAAGAGAAACAGAAGAAGAGGCAGAGAGGGGGGAGACAGACAGAGAGATCTCAGAGTTTTGAAAGCGCTTTTTTGGTGCTACGTGGCCGGGAGGTGCGTCAGGCCGGCGCTTCCACATGGAAGCCCTCAGCTCCTCTCTCGCTTTCTAACCCCGCATGCAGAGAGAGTTCTGAACTCAAAGTCCCGGGTTTTTCACTTTTATAACCGTGTTGGAGGACGGGCTTCTCGGCTACGTATTTTCCCTTGGGGAAGTGAACTCGCCTGGATGATTTGATAGTAGCGTTCGACAGCTAACTTTAAACACATTGACGATTTATGATGGTGCCGCATGGGCCGCCCCATCCACATTTTTGTTGCCAGCGTCCCCCTTCTTTTTAAATCAAATTCTTTGTGGCCAGGTTGGGCGGGGGGGGGGGTGGTTTCGAGTTCAACAGAAGCAAAGTGGAGACTGCACCAGCCAGCACCAGCACTACAGGGCAGTCCTCGCTCGTCCGCCCTGCTCCCACCCCACCTCGCCTCCTTACCTGTGGCCCCGGGTCTTCCTGGCACTGAGGAAGGGCGCGGGGAATCGGCCACCAGCCTTGATGCTTCTCCTCGTGGCCTCAGCTCGGCAGCTGAGCCTCTGGGCGATAACACTGATGGTCATAATGACGCCGGTGGCGACCATTTTAACGAAGATCAATCTTCCCTCAAGACCGCTCAGCGCCCCTCCCGCGCTCGCGCCCCACCCCGTCTGGGCCGCGTGGCCAGGTGCCCGCCCGCTTCAGCCCGCGAGGGGAGATCCGGGAACACCACGGAGCACAGGGGAGCAAAGGGGGACACTGTGGTCTGCCCGCAAGCATACAAGCGTCCTGAGACCCTGACAATCTGGGTGGTGGGCTCGGGTCCTGCCTTTCCACCCCTGCACCAACACAGACCCTCACCGGGTTCCCCTCCCTCTGCCCCTGCCACACCCGGAACATTGGGGTGTGTTAGGGGCAAACCCGGCATCTGTTTGCCCCTCGCTCTATTGGCACTTCCCTTTTAACCCTGAACCCGTTGGGGGCGCGTCAGGAATGTAAAGGGAGGCGAGGTGTGAAGTACATTTATATATGTATCCATGTACTACAGTCGATGCCAAAAGTTTCCCTCCAGCTCCCCACTGCGCCAACTTATGTCAACCGCACGCTTTGCTCCGAAAATCAAGTCCCCCTCCTGAAGGAAATAAGCGAAGTTTTCCCCCCAAGGTGGGTGAAGCGACGCCCCAAGCAGCGCGCAGCGGGGAAGGGCCGAGGAGTCAGGTGAACCCAGGTGGCCAATTGTCCACTGCAGCGTCCGCCTCCGCCCGGGTGCATTTGCCACCCGCCCGCGAACTCTCCGTGCCCCCCACCCGCCCACTTTCCGGCCACCAGCGGGGTCCAGGCCAGCCCCCTCGTCCCCCAGACACCCAGGCCCAGTGCCCCGGACAGTCGCACACAGCTGGGGGGTGGAGGACGGCCCCGAGGGGGCCGGGAAGGAAGCCCACCCCCACCCCCACGCCCTGACCTGGGCCGATTTCGGACTGAACGGGGAGCCCCATCCCGCCCGGGCGGCGGGGGCCGGGAGGGGCCGGTGCGCGCGGGGCGCGCGGGCGGCCTAGGCGCGGCGGGCGTAAGTCTGCGGAGGCCTTTACTGCTGTCGTTTGGCGCCCCCGTCTGTTTTCCTCGCGGTTGCGGCGACTCCGAGCCGCGCTCCAGCGCGGAAGCCTCTGCCCAGGGCTGGGGTGCAGAGAGACCCCATCCCCCCGCCACCCCTGACCTGCGGGCTCCAGCTTCCTCGGAGACCCGGCGCCCCCAGTCTCCGCAGCTGCGCCAGACCAGACCAGACCAGACCAAAGCCCCAGTCTGCTGGGAAGGGGAAACACCATTCTGGGGCGACACGTTCATTCATTAGTGGTTTTGAAACTATTTTACACCTTTTAAATAACGTTACTATTACGTACACTAGCACATTTATGACGAAGAGCACATTCGGGACTATGTCAGGGAAACGATGCTGTAAAAGACTGGCATAATTTTTCCTCTAGGCTGTGTTTAGCAGACCTTACTTGGGACACGGTAAACATTCCAACCAATCTTCGAGTTATTTCGCTTCCAAACGTACATTAACTAGCAACATTAGTAGCAGTCTTAACTAGCATACATCGAGCGTTTGCTATGCATGCAACTCTTGGATTATTTACACATGCTTTCTCGTATCTCCCCTAAAGCTCATACGGTAACTCCATAAGATGGCTTCTATTATTATTTCTTTTTCCAAGATGAAAAGCAGGCCATACAGAGAACGGCAAGAATTTGCTCACGATTTACATTTATCTCAAGTAAAATTCCAGTTATAAAGAAGTTAAAAGATGCGTAGCACTTCAGGTTGACTTCCCCACTTTCTGTGTCTTCTTTAAATGCTGGCCTGCTTCAAAACTCTGAGTTCGTGGTGGGTGGAAAGATGAAAGATTGGGTTCTGGTAGTGGTTATACCTCAGAGTATCTATCGTTTCTGGGGAAAGGGCTCATCAAGCGTCCCCGTGTTTTTTAGACACAGTCCGGGCCGCCAAGGCCTCCTACCCGCCTTCAAGGTACAGAACTTAATAAAACAAGAAAACGAGCGTCCAGTCTACCTAGGCGCGGTTTGGCAGGAATTTTTAAGATGTCTTGGGGAGGGGAGAGGAGGACTTCCTCCTGAAGAACTGAAAAACACTTTTTTTTGCTCGAAAAGATCATGAAAGAAGCTTAATTCCCCCCCCCTTTTTTTGTTAGGCCTCCAGACTAAATATTTATTTCTTGGGCAGCAGCAGGTCCTCCATGGTGAAGTGGTAAAACTCTTAGCCTGTGACTCCTAGTCATAAAAATTGGCCCCGCTGGAGAGGAGCGGGACTGGTAAAATCCGGGTTGCTGGGAAGCTGGGGCCTGAGTTCCCTCTACTCCACAGAGGGGTTGAGGCTGCCCCGGACCTGCAGTCCCCAGTGGGGATTCCTGCTGAAGGCTGGTGTGGCGGGGAATGGTGAGGGGGCAGGCTGGTTAAAGCCGGGGCTGCGAGCCCTGAACATCTTAACCAAGAGGGGCTGGCATGTTCGGTTTCCCAGGGAAGACCCTGGTTGAATGCGTCCCAGCCTGGCTTCGTCCTGCCAACCTTCCGCTTCCTCCCTTGGAAGGCCAAGCCTCTTCATCTCTGTCACTCGGGTCTCCCTGGCCGCCTCTATCTCTTCTCCTTCCTCCTACAACGCTGCACCCCTCCAGATGAGTGAGTGGCTGCTTCTCTCTGCACACTGAGGCCACCCTGACCGCCTGACCGCCTGCAGCGCGCTCACAGACGCGGCAGGAAAACTTACTGGGACATCTAGCGCCAGGTGTGGGGAACTGCGGGCCACCGAGCCTCCAGCTGAAGCCCGCCACTCACGCTTTGGTTGACTCGCACCTCAGGTCGAGTTGAGATATTCCCCTACCATTCTTCTCTTACCACCGTCCGTGATCACAACCTGGATCCCCAACACTTAATGAAACTTAAATACTTAAGTTTATTTCTTTCTCTTCATCTCAAAGGGCTCAAAGTGACAGAGCCAGCACTCACTGTCTTTAAAGATGACAATAAATCCGATTCTCAGAAAAGTGTCTTGCTTACATCTTGAGATGTCTGGCAAAACAGCAGCGGATTCCTGGGGTGGGGAGGGTGTCCCAGCTTTTGCTGGGTGAAGCAAGGACCACCACTCCTCGGGATCCCGGAGTTCCGTGTCCACCTTCCAGCGTGGCCCATGCGTGGCCCTCACAGCTAGACCAAGGCAAAGACTCCCGCTGACTTTGGATTCATTCTTGTCAGGGCTGTAGGAATTCTGTCTATCCTAAACCAGGGTCCGCTGCCCTTAGAGAGACCTAAATGAGCGCCGAAAAACAAAACTGGCTTCACCAAACAACCTCTGGTTTTAGAAAGAATTTATTACAGAATTATTTTCACAAAGACTACAGCTTTAGAAGTTTTAGAAAAGAGTTCAACTCTGCCCTATACAGACCCACTATGAGTGGGAAATCGCTGGATGGCAATGGGTGGGTTTTCTGTTTGTTTGAGTTGTTCATGTTGTTAAGCCCAAACAGCTCTAGAAAATGCCGGGATGCAGAATTACACTATCTGGCATCTGCTCCAGTCTCCACTTCATCACAGGTGGTTGTTTCTAATCCTTGCTACCGCTCTGGTCTAATTTCCCGGAGAGGGGCAATGAGCTGCAAAGGCAGTAAGGCATGGATTTGGGGACAAACACTTGCCAGCCAGTTCCTCTGGGCTTAAGACTTGACTTTGGAATGGAGACTTCATTTCTGCACCAAATCTATTGTTTCTTACAAGTTAATTGGGAGGGTGTATTGTACTTCCTGGTCGTAGCCATTAAGACCATCAATTTCAAAGGCACCCCTAAGACCCCATTCTGATAGGAGCCAGGATGTCCACTGATTAATTGAGCCTATTGCTGTCTTGGCAAGCAGGCAGCTTACTTTCACCACTAAGCCTAAATCGAAGTTTGCAGCATCCCATCCTCAACCTAGAACAGGGGGCATGATTTTAAAAGCTCCTTGCGAGAAGGAAAATAGAGAATGTGACCTCCAGAACTGCATAGATCCCTGAAAAGTTTACATGTGGAGAAAAGGAAGGTGAGGAGCAATCTGATGGGCAAGAATGGCAGTTTTTGATCTCATTTATTCGGGGAAAGTGGAGTTTGGGCTATGAAGAGCCACCAGGGAAGTTTCTCACCCAAATCAGGAAAGGTGACAAGCCCGGTTTCATGGAATATCACTTCAGTGTTTGAAGACATTTCTGCTTGCAAAGAATTTTCCTCTAACAAAGACTACTTGTGTTGTTAAAGTTCCAACAAAACACACCCTCCACACATATACACAGAGCTCAATTGATTCTCAGCTAAAGAGAAGGACTCCTGTTAGGATGAGTCTGAAGTTAACTCACCCACAGGACATATGAGGGAAAGGAAATGTTTCTGCAAAGTCACCTTCAAAATTCCTCCCCTACCCACCACTCTCAACCTGTAAAGGCTGTTTCCATTTCTCCTTAGTTTGTAAACAAAGCAGCACAACTTTGCTTGTCTCTCATTCATAGTTCTAAGGGAGCAGCAGCTACCTTTTGGTGCCAGGTTTAAAAACCCACATAGCACCCTGTCAGTGGCCCCTTCCCTCAAGGGAACCCCTTTTAACCAGATCAGGTATCAGAGGCTGTGCCAGGCAGGTTCAACAGTAGGATAACAACAGGTGCGGGTCCTTGTTATTCAAAGCCTGCCCAGTCACTGAGCACCCTATTGGAGTGGACAGAAATAGTCCCAAACCCTACAGGGAAATTCAAGGTGTTCATTGAGAAATTTCCTTCAACCAGAGCATTAATTCTCCACCTCCGACACCTGGTCCTCCACTTTATTTAAAACGCAACAAGATTTCCCCTCCTATCTTAATTTTACGTTTTCATTTTAGAATATATAATCAGTCATTATGACAAATTTTCAGAAACAACATGGAACAGAAAAGAGTCTCAGTATGCAAAACCGCAAAGACATTTCCATTTCGTTTCCAGGGACTCTAAGTCCATTGGCTCCAGTTTTGCGTTAGAAAGATTTCTTAAGGGTTTCAGTCTTTAAGTCACTGAGAAGTCTATTTTGATTCTATGTGTATTTGTGTGTTCCCTCTTAGGGGAAAAGAAAAGGAGGCAAAGGAAAGTGAAAGCTTGTGAAGAGTGACAGCCTGTGTTTAGCTTGGCACCAACATTAGATAAAGAAAATCCAGCCAAATGCTTTTACAAAGTCAGCAACCACATCACCTGCCCCTGGATGCTGGATGCTAACTTCTCCCTTTTCCCAAGTGGCCAAAATGTCACCCCAAAACTTCTAATTCTCTGTTCTTCCCAGCAAATGTTCAAGTCCTTCCTAACTAGAATTTGACCATGAACGAGTCTAGGATTTTAAAATAGTCCCATTCTCTTGCTTTTTCTTTGCAGAACCCTTCTCATTTAACTTTCCCCATTCTTTGAGCCACTTTTATGAGTACTGTGGTTTTTCTCTCAGAATCCCTAACGTTAGCAGGCCACCTTGCCAGGCCAGGTCAGGAGGGGACCCTCTTCCTTGCCCCAATCAGAGGCAGTCTTGAAGATGGGGGACTAAGAGGCTAGTGACAATCCACTCACCAATCATGGGCTACCGGGAACAATTTTCTTGGAGCTGGACTGGCCTGGGTAGCTAACGCCTGAGAACCAACCAGCCTCACGCTGTTCACTTCCACACTCATACCAGCACCCTACACTAATCTGATCTAATTTTGCTCCAAGGAGGAGCCTTAGTCACAACAAGACTCTCAGCTCATGGGACCCCATTAATAGCTAAGACCGGACATGATTTGGGGGCCACGTGACTGAGGATGGCTGAGGTCCCTGAAACTGGACCTAGACCCTTCTGGGTTACCCTGATCACACACCAGGCCACCTCCAAGTCAGACCCTGTTGTTGCGGGCTGCGCTTCTCACGCTCTGATTTTCTTAGAAGCTCCCTCTTCTTTTTGTCCCTTTGAGTTCTCTGCAGTTGGCAGCTTGGAAAAGAAAGTGAAACAAAAGTCCCTGGGAACGTGAACTTTTTAATTAATTGATGTGAATAACGGGCGGCAGTGGGCGTTGGCTGCAAAACTCAAGAGACTGGAGAATGGGCAAGACACGGGTCTGGCAGCGGGCAGCGGAGCAGCTTTCTCCTCGCGGTCTGCACAGGGTCTTTCTGCCGGTTGGGGGAGACCGCGCGAGGCCCAAGGAGACCAGCTCAGAGGCGACGAGCACAGTCCAGTCATGTCTGAACTTTACTCGCTTGGACAGATGGTTAAGGCTCCCAGTGCCAAGGGCTGGGTCTTACTTACTTGTCTTACAGCTTGACTTGCTTGTAAATCTATGTCGCGAGCCCCAAGGGTACTTTGTGGGGATTTCCTGGAGGACTGAGGTGTACTGAGACGTCTGCCCCGCTTAAACTCAGTAAGATTCTCAGAGATAATATGTCTAAAATGCCTTTGCCTGGTGGCACAGCGCAAAGTGGGGGAAATCAGCTCTCTCAAGTTTGGGGCCTAGAGGCCCACTAATCCAAATGAGTAAAAGTCTCTTAGCACATTCGGATCTTCTCTGTTCTTTGGCTTCTTTTAGTGCAGCTTGGAGAGACGAAGAGAAGTGGCAAAACAGAGCTGCGACAGAGACAGGGCGCAGGCCTCTGCGCCCGCCCGCTCCAGTCGCATACAGGGGCCTGGGATGGGCCGTCGCAATCAGCTCGTGGGGTTGGCTGTGCGCAAACGCCGGGGTCCAGGAGGGCGGGAAGGGGAGGCAGGCCGCGCCAGGGGCCGGGGAAGGGAGGGGTAGAGACCGAGGGTGGGTGGGTCCAGCCGGATCCCGTCCGGGAGCCCGGCTCCCCCGCGCCCACACCCCCACGTGGCTCTGCACAGCCAATGGCGCGGCTCCTGGCAGGCGCCCTCGGGGCGGGAGGCGGCCCCCCGACTGGCCCAGGCCCCCTCCCAACCTGTACTTCGTTTTTATAAACGTCCCGCGATGAGCTAACCTGTTGGAGGGCGGGTGGATGGGAGGCGGGCGGCTCGCAGAGGGAGACGAGGGCGAGAGGAAGAGGGCGGGCGGAGCGAGCTCAGGGAAACAAGAGGAGGCGGAGGCGCGGCGCGCCATGGTGTTGAGCGCGGGGCCGGGGCCGGGGCCGGGGCCGGGCCGGGCCGG